CACCACCTACTCCGTGCCATTTGAAGAAGGAAGAGAACCCGACGCCACTCTGAGATAAAGAAAACATCGCGGAGTCGTGGTTGGTTAATTTGATTGACTGCGCCTTGCTGGTTAGTAGGGACTGGAGCTGAAGTAGGTTTGGTAATAGGTAGCGTTCGTTCAGAACATTTAGTTGATGGTTCTTTGCCATCCCTTTGAATTTGATTAGATTCATTAAGAATCAGAGTAGAAATATTGTTGGAATTCGGGACTGAAGATTTGTCGATTTGTAGAGGGACTTCGGTGGAGTGCGGATTGTTAGAGACAGTGGATTTAGATAAAGTTGTGGACTCTGAGTACGATAGACCACTATTCCCAATCGACTCCCTTACGCGTTTTTTGAACACGAGCATTGATCGGACGTAACCCCTGGTCGTGTATATTTGTAGCAGATCACCCTATTCGGTTGGGTTTGACACTTTTTGAAGTGATGGCCCGACACGAGACATTTTGCACATCGTACATTTTCGTTGCCCTCAACAACAAAAAATGGGTCGACGATAGTTCCTACCTTCGTATCATTCACCTTTGGATTTTTGTCATTTTTATAATCCTTGGCTGGTTTCGATACCTATGTTTCTGAGATGCTGTAATTGGTTTCTTTTGCTTGTTCAAGTATGCACATTCCCTGTCATCGGAGTCGGACCCAGGAAACGAAGCGGAATATTCCGAATGTGAAGAATCATCTGGTGGATCATGTATTGCCGAAATTTCCCGTGGCACTGATCGCTGTGGGTGTGGCAACAATGAACGAATGTGGTGCAATTCGCTGAGCGAACTCACGCAATTGCTCCAACGTGTGGACTTGTCGAGTGTGGACGAGTTCACTCAGATGATCGGATAAGGTACCAATGATGATATCGAGGTGGTCCCAGTTCGGTGAAGTTCCATTGTCGAGCGGCCCCCGTGAGTGTGGGTACCAAACGCGTTACCAATTCATGGCCGGGTATTCCAATCTTATATCGAAATGAGCCAATAATAGCCAAATAATCTTCAACCCAACCATGATGGTAAGGCTGTGAATTTCCTATCCATTGCATCCGCTTGGGCAGATTCGTCGAATATAGTGTCTTGATTTGGTCGTGATTGTGGTGGACCGGATAGCGAATAATTGGGATATAAATGAGATGGTTGATTAATTGGTTCTTGGATATGTGACGTTCTAAGACCACGGTAGGTATTAATCGTTTGAGTTTGTAAGGTTGAAGGACCACCCAAAGAACAATGCGGAAGATCCACCGAGGGTGGTATCCAGGTGTGATTCCAGGTCGTTGGCATGGTTTGGTTCATATCACGAACATCAGGAATTTGTGTCTGCAACTGAATCCGTTCACTGATCATTTGCTGTTGCATCTGTNAGGACCACCCAAAGAACCATGCGGAGGATCCACCGAGGGTGGTATCCAGGTATGATTCCAGGTCGTTGGCATGGTTTGGTTCATATCACGAACGTCAGGAATTTGTGTCTGCAACTGAATCCGATCACGGATCATTTGCTGTTGCATCTGTGTTTGGGCTCTCAGCAACTCAGCCACCATTACAGACAGTTAGTGTATTGAGGGTGTTGGTTCCGTTCCGCCTGACACTGAATTGAGAACGGCTGGTTGAGCATTTGAATTAACCGTATTGGTGGTCAGGGTATACCGTGGTGCAGTTGCCTGAACCGAAGTCGGTATATTCTGGTTTGGAATCGAATCTGGTATGGTTAAGGGTAAATATTGTGATGGAACAGTATTTTGAGTTGANTGATTCCAGGTCGTTGGCATGGTTTGGTTCATATCACGAACATCAGGAATTTGTGTCTGCAACTGAATCCGTTCACTGATCATTTGCTGTTGCATCTGTGTTTGGGCTCTCAGCAACTCAGCCACCATTACAGACAGTTAGTGTATTGAGGGTGTTGGTTCCGTTCCGCCTGACACTGAATTGAGAACGGCTGGTTGAGCATTTGAATTAACCGTATTGGTGGTCAGGGTATACCGTGGTGCAGTTGCCTGAACCGAAGTCGGTATATTCTGGTTTGGAATCGAATCTGGTATGGTTAAGGGTAAATATTGTGATGGAACAGTATTTTGAGTTGAACTCATCGTTCCCCGTTCGTTCTCAAAACCATGGAAGGTCGAGTTCAAACTTAATTGGGGATCGCACGTCGGGATTCCCGTATTCGGTGAAGACATCCGAAGCTCACGAATCTTCGACTGAAATGTTCCGACCAGATCTGCCTGGCGTTACGCCGACTCGGGTTTTAACTTCAAGCGAGCGGTTCGATAACAATAATGTATCATTTGATGAAGACGACCCTGAGGTGTTAACACCTCATTCGCCTTCAGTTCCCGATATGCTCGCTCACATATTTCAAACTCATTCATTTGGTGTATGGCATAGGATTTTATCAACCATGGTTGGCCATCGTAAGCAGATATTTTACCATTGAGGGCGGCTATTTCGGTGTCGGTCCATTGAACCGGCGCTGGATATAGGTTATATATCTCCCCTTCGATCTGTCGCTGTTCGTCTGTCAAATAAGTTGCATCTAGAATGGGAAACAATTCCATGTTCAAAGACTCAAATACCAAGTTGTAAATTCCGATTATTAAAAAATTCTGCCAACGGTAGACGTAAAGTCCGTACTATTAAAGTCTATGTTATAAGATGATGGTACTCGATTTAAAATCAGTACAGTATTTACTTCAGTTTATTATTTATTATTATTATTATTTTATTCTATGAGTATGTCGTTTTGAATATCCACTTTCAAAAATAATGCCGCATAAATCGATCACTATTTGAATATTGCTTTAAATCTAATTAGTTTAACAAAAAATTCACGCTCAATTGGTTGTATATCTCATGTGATTTTCGGTCCAAAATTTTGTTTAATATTATACCGAACGTGGGCTGAGAATGGCGTTTAACGCACTAGCTCGATTTTTTTTATGGACCAAGTTGTTTGCTCCCGGCATGCAGCGAAGGCCTTGAATACTTGGGAGTATTGCCCCTCGGTCCCTTCTGTCGCCAACAAGGTACGCAACAAAGATCAAGACTATCCACCCCCGAATTTACCGGAAGACCAAATCAGACTGAGAATATTCAACCAGTTTGAGAATGTTAAACGAGATTACTTTGATACGAGTTTCAAATTTTATTGGGAATGAATACCCAAAGAAATTAAAAAAATAAAGAAAAATTAATAGTTTGGTTCAATTAATATTGACCGTGTTATGGGTTACGTTGCTGAACTTATACCGAAAGACGAAATGAAAAATTATCGGTTCAAAAATCTTGACCCTCGATGTGTGGTGTTACTTGATTAAAAAAAATTCAATTAACTTGCTTTTCAGAATTGGCGAACTGAACTGAACGAGAATGGTTATGACTGCTGATCAATGGTGTTCGCATCGCAGATCGATCACCATTCACCCCCGCGGAATTAAATAATCAAAATATCCACAAAAATTTTGATTGAAAACGAGCTCCAATAAAAATCAATTAAATCATGCCGGAAGACTGAGGACGATATTGATTTACAGTGATTATGAATTCAAGAGATATAATGATGATTTATAATAGCGAAATTTCTAAAAGAAAAAATTTATCAAAAATCTATTAAACTCGATTATGTTTGGTTCACCGACGTACAATTTTGTGACCAACAAAATGAGAAAAACGACTAAAAGATTTTAATTTTTCCTTAAATCCAATTTTATGATGTGTTAAATTGATTCGATGATGAAATCGCTATATTCCCTCAGCTGTACACGCGGTTATTTTATGCCGGGCTTAAGTGTGGTTATGTTCAACAAAAACTTATTCTTTTTCACCCGTTTAGTTGGGCGCCAATGATTTGCTTGACCTTGGTTTGTCGGTCCAAACAGGAATCTTTATTTACGGTTGATGGATAGCTCGTTTCCAATGGATGGTGGCAAGAAAGTGGCTGACTTACGCGTAATGATTTTGTATTACCGGCTTATGGTGACCCAATTGCTGTCAAATGAATAGTCCAGATTTAATGCTCACAACTTCTTTATTCTACGCAATAACATGGCTGGGGATTTGCCGGAAGGAATGTGACGGCACCTTTTGCCTCTATGAATTTCCACTGAGGGGTGAGTATCGACTTCCCGAATGTCGCCAGCTTTTAATACAAGCTTTTAATCCATTTTAATTACGTGGTCGCAATTCCGTTCTTGCGAGGGCTGATGAGTGTGGTTCGCTCCGTGTCCAATTCCCAAAAGAAAAATATTTTTCTAGTCTCGTGGTATGTGACCACCGATTCTTTTATCGTATTTCAGTGTGAGCGTTTTGATAGTGGCCATTTCAATTCGTGTCTATACCGATTCGTGTCTTGAATAACTATTGGTTACATACATTCATCAGGCAATCCCCCCATTTTGAAGTTTAGCTTTGACAGTTTTGTTATGTTTACATTTCTTATAATCGTTCTTATGTCTATTATTAGGGTAATAAAAAATAATAGATCAAGTGGCAAAGTGTAATAGTGAAAACAAAAGGAAAGCGTGCGATATAGGTTTTTTTCATTTCCTACGGACGCAAACCTGGCGAAAAAGTGGAAGCAGTTCTGCCGGCGAGGAGTTGTATTAAACACCAAATCGAGCTTTGCGCTATATGTGTGAGCTATGAGCTTCTACATGGAACTATGTTGGCCTTTCCTTGGTGAATTGTAGTAGGTATATTTCCATGGTGAATGTAGATAGTTGCTGGTTTAGTTTGCTGGCAATGGCAAACATAAAAAAGCAGTTTCTACAGTAAATAGATAAGCGAACTTCACTACCTAGTTATTTTTGTTAGTACCTGATTCTTTTTAGTGCTGGTATGAAGAAATGCACCAGTGGATAAGGTCGCCAGCCGCTAATTCAAGCGGCATCTTACCGCGCTGTCACGTGCCTAATACAAAACCGTGCCCAAATTTAAAAGTTCAGCTTAAATTGTGTTTTACTTACATATAATATTTGTTTCCAAAGAAGCCACACTCATGCATCCTCTCGGAAATGGTACAAAAGTCATCAAATAAAAGATCTGGAGTCAACAGCTGTGGAGTTTATGGTGGTTGGCTCTTCTTCTTCTTCTTTATTGGCGCTGTAACCGCCTAAGCGATTTTGGCCGAGTCCAAAACAGCACGCCAGTCATTTCTCTTCTGTGCTAACTGACGCCAATTGGAAATGCCAGGTGAAGCCAAGTCTTCTCCACCTGGTCTTTCTAACGCAGAGGAGGCCTAACTCTTCCTCTGTTACCAGCATCGCGGCCCGCATTGAATATTTTCAGAGCAGGAGCGTTTCTGTCCATTCGAACGACATGGCCAAGCCAGCGGAGCCGCTGAATTTTAATTCGCTGCACTATGTCTATATCGTTGTAAAGCTCATACAGCTCATCGTTAAATCGTCTGCGATATTCGCCATCACCAAAGCGTAAAGGTCCGTGAATCTTTCGCAGAATCTTTCTCTCGAAAACTCCAAGAGCCGCCTCATCAGATGCTTTCATTGTCCATGCTTCCGCGCCATACACCAGCACAGGCATGATGAGTGACTTATAGAGTGTGATCTTTGTACGACGAGAGAGGACTTGCCTACTCAGCCCAAAGTAGCACTTGTTGGCAAGAGTGATTCTCCGGGGATTTCAAGGCTGACATTATTATTGGTGTTAATGCTGGTTCCCAAATAAACAAAGTCGTCTACTTTTTCAAATTTGTAACTGTCAACAGCGACGTTGGTGCCAAGACGCGTATACTCTGACTGTTTGTGTGATGGCAGGAGATACTCCGTTTTGTCCTCGTTCACCACCAGACCCATTCTCTTTGCTTCTCTATCTAATCCCGAGAAGGCAAAACAGACCACGATGTAGGGAGACAGAAGTGGCGCAATCAGCAGTACCGCTACTTTGTTCTTGATGAATTTCACAGAATCAGCTGTTCGTGTGACGTCATTTTAGCAAACTGTTTGTATGTATGCAGAGATCTTTATATGTATGTAAATATGGCAACCTCCATGGTCCGACAGTTAACACTCTTTCTCTCCTCCATCTCCAATTATTCTTTCCTATTCGTTGCTATCTTGACGTCATCACCCGCAGGAGTGCACAATCTTGTATTCTATCATTCTTGAGAACAGACGTAGCCCTTGTTTTTACCGAAAATATCGATTTCGTCGGCATACGCCCGTTCAGTTCTGCGGCTCTTATCATCTTCTCCAACATCAGATTAAAGAAATCACACGAAAGGGAGTCCCCTTGTCTGAAACCTCGTTTGGTATCAAACGGCTCGGAGAGGTCCTTCCCTATTCTGACGGAGCTGGTGGTATTGCTCAACGTCATTTTACACAGCCGTATTAGTTTCGCGGGGATACCAAATTCAGACATCGCGGCATAAAGGCAACTTCTCTTCGTGCTGTCGAAAGCGGCTTTGAAATCGACAAATAGATGGTGTGTGTCGATCCTATTCTCGCGGGTCTTTTCCAAGATTTGGCGTATTGTGAATACCTGATCTATGGTGGATTTTCCAGGCCTAAAGCCACACTGATAAGGT